GTAGACTTTCAAATGCTGCATACGCTTAGTCATTCTGACTTCAATGCTCTCCTTTTTTTTTTCCTCTGCTCTGTTGGTGAACCAGTGGGACATGGACTAATTATACTTTTCAGGGACAGTGGACAATGATTATGGATTGTTGGATATGTTCCACTGTTTCTAGGGGCTTCCACATAACTTGAATGTTTACTCTTGGCTCGAGCTTGTCAGGCTCTTCTCTAAGCAGACCATTTTATTTGATAGAGCTGTGATTATCAAAAGGAGGAGTATAGCAAAGCTTTCAGCAAATAAACAGAACTTTTGAGCACAGGCTTATTTGTGCTGCTGTTGCAGAAAGAACAATATTAATATTAAATGGCTGAACCAGAGTATTCCCAATGAGATGGTGCAATGTAGAAGGATTTCAGAAAGGCATAGAATTTTTAGGCCCACTACCTTAATAGTAGTGTTGTGTAATTGTGTGGTGAGTTGGGATGATGGTTCATATATTACCTGTAAAAGCAAAGGAATGAGTAATTCTGTTAAAATGGGACTGAAGATGTGTCATACAACTTGAACAGTAGCATTTTCTGAATGAGCTCTGCAAGTGTGATTTATATATGGAGCTGATAGAGGGGTGGTTTGAAATACATACTCCTTGGGATATCAAGTTCAAATTTCTCAAAACATATGTTTTCAAAATTACCTAAAATTGTGAACAATTACTTCCTTGGATTTTTTTTTTCAGATAGTGAATTTGTATTAAATAATGTGTTTAGTAGAGTAGCTGCTTGTTTAAGGCCTGGGTTTGTGCAGGTTTACATTTGCTTTAATGCCTTTTTGCAGTTTCTCCCTGCTCCCATGTCCTGCAAGTAATGCCCTGCAAGAGTGAGCACATGCTGTGGATGGCTGTGCTGAGTAACTGTGGGAGTAGCTGTGCTCTTCAGGTGTCCTGCCTGGGCAGCTCTTGGGCCAGACAGAACATAGCACTGAAGCTTGTGATGAAGTGTTGGCAACTAAAATTGCCAGATCTTTCTGTAGTTGTACTGGTTTTTTATTGCTGTTGTAATGAATCTTTTGGTATTTATCCAATTCAGATGGTAATTAGTCGGGAGTAATCAGGGTACCAAAGGTATAAATGCTGAGTAATCTTCCCCCACCATAAACAACAAGTTTTATGGCATAAGTTTCTCTGATATTTTTCACAAGAGTAACTTTTGAATAGCTTTGAAACAAAAAATATGATGACCTGATCAATAAAAATAAAGCAAAAAAATTTCTCACAGCAAACTCCTTTCTTTGCACAAGATTCAGGACTGTTGGTGACTTACTTTAAAGTGACTATGGACAGATAGCCACTTCAAGAAAACACAATTACATGATGTGAGTTCTGTCTTTGTAAACAGTATTTTTTAAATTTTATTTTTCAATTTTCATTTCATCCTGTGGTATTGCACAGCTCTCTGCCATTTGTGTTTTTTTAGATGGCTGAAAATTGTTTTGTGGTTCACTTGAAGCATAATCAATGCAGTGTTGTGGGTCCCTGTCAAGTCAGATGATGGTAGCAGAAGTATAGCTAGACAGAGCACACAGGTCACCAGCAAACAAGGGAAGACAACGAGCCTTTTATTGGGCTCTGAATGCCTGCTTGGAATGGCTGCTGATGTTGAAAGCATTGTGTGCTGCTTCAGACAGAAATATGTGCCTTTCCATGCTTTCTGGTGTGGTTCTAAAACTTCATAAGATACAGCTTTCCAAAGGATTTAAGTCACAATTGTGTAGGTTGGAAAAAACCTTTAAGATCATCAAGCCCAACTGTAGTAGGAAGACAAAACAGCCTTTTTTTGGCATAAGCATGGTCTGAAATGCCCTTATGAGGATGTGATTTACCCTTCGTATTCCAGTCATGTTGTACACCCACTTACAATCTTATGGTTTCTTTCCATCATTCCCACTAATCCAGACTACTCTTATCTATTGTGGGTGTCTGGTTTTGGTTTAAGACTGATCCATTTTAAGAACATTTAAGAAATTGTACTTCCTCTGATAACTCTTAGGTTAAGAAACCTAGATGGAATTTAGTTTGCATTTGGTGTGGTAAATGTTTTACACTGCTTTTGTACAGCTCCTGCAGTCAGACTCTGGTACAATGAGAATGTCTTGCTGAAGTGTGTGTGACTAAGTAGGCTCTTTGGCTTAGTGGTTGTCCATTAATAAAATTGTACATGGTAGTAAAATTGGTTGCCCATTTAGTAAAACTGTTCTCTGTGCTACCAGCAGCAGAAGAACACAGAGTGCCGGGCAGTTTGTTTAAATTAATTACAGTAGTGACTTAAGGCATATTCCACTTGTTACTTCCTTTTGTGGTTAGGTATTTAGAAGGAATTAGTTGCTCCAGGAAACACTTTTGGAAGCCTGAAAGGTTTTCTGAAGGTTTGCAGAAATTGCAGAGCAATGGCAAGAGCTGATGCCTTTAAGAAGCTTGCATCATTTTAAACGAACAGGTGTTTGTTCAGCACAGTCCTCCTCCGTTCCTCTTTGCATATTCATAGAACTGGATCTACTATGGCTCTGTAGCTGCTAATGATCTGGAGTCACACAGCACCTTGTTTTCTGAGTCCTCACAGAAACTGCCTGTAGTGGTCATGATGGCCTGAGACATTGACACGGAGCTGTGGTGGTATTTTTTTGTTTGGATTGTTTGTTGTGGGGGTTTTTGTTTGGTTGTTTTGAGGGTTTTTTGTTTGGTTTTCTTCCCCCCTTACTCCAAATGCTTAGGCATCTTCATCTTCAGGGGGAATGGAAGATGAAGCAGAAAACTGGGAGGGAGAAATATGAAAAACTGGGTTGTGGTTTGTTGCTGTGAGTTGATCTCTAGGTCTCAATGGTAGCAGTGACATGGTAATTGTGATGAGTTTCTTTGATCTGACTTGTTTTGGATGGCAGGAGAAGCAGAAGTAATTGGATGGTCTGATAAGGGTGTGGAGGAGGCCTCCTCTGTCATTGGCCAGCACATCTCGGGCTGGATGCAAACTGATGATCATGGTAGAGCCCCAGGTGTTACAGGGCTGTGTGCAGAATCAGCTGGGGGCTGTTGTAACATTTGTCTTTCTGCTTGTCTGAAATTGAGCCCAATTTTTCTTTTCTTCAGTATTTCCTGATGTTCTTTCCAATATTGAAGTTGGGGTTGGGGAGGGACTGTGTGGATTTGAGCACCACCAACTCCTGCTGCTAGAGATTCTGTAAATAGCCACAAGCAGGACTTCTCTTCCTCCTAGCAATCATATGACTGCTGCTTGTATAGTTATACTCACAAATCTAAGTATGGAAATACTACTGCTGGCTCACTTCAGGCTATTCACTGCAAGTTTAAAGCTACACACATAAATATTCTGATTTTATATATTTTGTCACCAAAAAGTAGTGAAAGATTGATACTGTTAAAACAGTGATTCTTGATATTAGCTTTTACTTTAGAACAGACTTGTGACTTTTTTGACTAAGTTTGTCTTCTAATTTCGTATGAAGATGTATTAAATAATTAAGCTTCATTTTATCTATTACTATCCTGTAAATGACTGTTTAATTTTGACAACACAAATCAGTGCATTGAACTTGATCCTGTTGTGGAGTACAATTGCAGAATGAATGCAGAGTTGCTGAGTTTGAGGTAGTAACTACTGATCTTAGCTCTAAATTAGCTGTATAAATACTCATTTTAAAATATCTTTTTATCATTAGATCTGTTTCCTGTTGTTGTTTGTCTCTATCCAGTAGGATGATGATAATGTTGGTAATAAGGACTGTTAGGTGTTGAATATGCAGTTGGACTATTTAGAGCTGAAACATCAAAAATGAAATACATAGTTAGGATGTCTGCCTGATCTCTCTAATGCTGAGCAATCTTGGAAATGACCTATAAGATTTATCATGTTTGCCAAGTAGTTTGGGGACGATGCAGAGGTGGGAGTATCACAGCGTCTACCTTGATTTGGCAGCTTTCAGAGCAATCAGTTTTGTAGCTCCTGGTTGTTAGAGCCTGAAGGTCACTGGGGACAACGTTGAAAACCTGACACTTGCAGGGATAGAGGGCATGTTTGTAGTAGGCAGGTAGGAGGCATGGTCGGGGCTGTTTCAGAAAGGGTGTGGGAAGAAAAGGTATGCATCATAAAAACAAAGCTTTTTTGACTCTGCTTCTCTGGAAGAAACCTGTTCTAAAAGGGCACTGTGATTTTTGAGGGCAGCTAATGTTTGGTGTTATTGTTTGGGTGCATATTCAGGTTACTTGCAGAATAGTCTGAAGGGCTTAAAACATTTACTGTTAAAACTCCTACATCTTCTTTAGTTTTGAGAACACCTTTCCTCTTGTTTTGCTCAAGAATTAAAGCTTGAACATACTGAGAATTTTGCAAGTGGTTAAACTTCTGCTCACTCACAACTACAATTAGAAAATGAAATTGGAGCAAGAGTATTTTTACCCCTTATCTCATACCATCACTCATATATGGTATTGTAGAAACTGCATCATGGTAACAAAGGCTGTTGAAAAAACAGTTCTTGTACTCAAATAGTAATTAAAAGTATAAATACTGAACCTTGGATTCTTTAAAATCTACCATTTGAGGCTTAAGGCATATGGAATCTGTTGAAACAGTTTAAGCCCTGAAGTATGGTAAGGGAATGTGTAGAATTAGGTGAAGGAGAAGAATTTTAAAGATTGCAAGTAGAAGTCAGGTGCTTTGCATTTCATGAGCACATTCTACAAATACTTTGCAAAAGGAGTGTTGAATGATGAAATTGGATGCTGGGATCTGCTTGCCCTGCTGTGACAGGAAACTTCGGGTATTTAGACTAGTACATGATGCGCCAGTCAGTTGTTAAAGCAGCTCAGTCTGGAATATAAATTATGCAGCCACACACTTTAATGGTTTAATGTATTAACAATAGTAAACTTATTTAAGTTTTGAATTAAGGAATTTTCTCTGATTAATCTGTGTTGTTGTGGTTTTTTTTTAATTAAGGTGTGCAAACAGATTTGGCTCGGCCTATTTGATGATAGATCATCAGCAATTCCAGACTTCAGGGATCCACAGAAAGTAAAGGAATTTCTACAGGAAAAATATGAAAAGAAAAGATGGTAAGATACCTTTACTATTATAAAGATTGCCCCTATGATGAGGAGTGAAGATGGACTGTTTGCTCTCCTTTTGAATGTTATTTCCTTCTTTGAATCTGCACTTTAGACCAGATTACACACTCTAAAGTGAAATGATTTCTGAACTTTATGTAGAGCTCCTATAGAAAGCAGAGAAGGCAAACTAAACAAATTTCTCAGTGTTCATATTGATGGAACAGAAATGGCATAAGAGGATGTCAACAACAGTGTAAAGTAACAATTTTGCAAACTTTTTTTTCCCATCCGATTTATTAGTATGGGAAAGACATGTTTTTTATTGAATAAGTGCTAAAAATATTGATGACTTTAAATTCTAGTCCATTAAAAAAAAACAACTCTTGTCATATTTAAAGAATAGGTACTTTGCAAACTACTGATGCAGTCTATTGCAGGATCAGGGTTTCAGTAGCAAAGCTGAGATCTGCCAGGTCTCAACTTCAGACTCAAGAACTTTCATGTGAAACTTGTAAACACCACTGCTCTTCTTGCATGTAGGTATGTTCCTCCAGAGCAAGCAAAGGTGGTGGCATCAGTCCATGCATCCATCTCGGGCTCTTCTGCCAGTAGTACAAGCAGCACGCCTGAGGTGAAGCCGCTCAAATCTCTCTTGGGAGAAGCTGCACCCGCACTGCACTTAAACAAGGGCACACCTAGCCAAGTGAGTAATGATTGCTGAGGGGCACAGGACTGTTTGCAATCCTTGTAACTCTTTCAGTGGCACAAAAATTCTTGCAGTAACAGCTGCTGTGATCTGTAGGAACTGATATGATCACTGTATGTTGTGTATTTTTCTGAAGTATATACATGTTCGCAGATCAGGTACTAAATGAAGTTTGTTTCTATTGACCAAATTGATTTTTAATGGTTATTTTCAGTAAATAGAGTTGTCCATTGTGATAGGATTAATTGTCTTTTGCATAAATACCTCTAAAGTTTAGACCTAATGTGTTATATTTTAATTTTTGCATTTTCTCTCTGAAAATAAGAAAACGACTGATGTTGTTGACTGTGAGATTAGTAGTGACTATGTGGATGAAAGCATGTCATATTTATTATCACTTCCTATGCATTCTGAAACTCTTATGCTGTAATGTAAAGTCAAACAACGCTGTGTACTTAGATTTTTGGAGGGAAGACAGTTTGTTTGAAAACTGCCATCAGGATACAGGCAACTCTTAAATGGATCTCTTTTAACTCAAACAGTAGAAAATTGCAACTTCAAGCCTTGCTATTAAATTCTTCAATTTTTCTCTTATACTGAATTCTAATGTTTTTTTTCAGAATGTAGTGAATAAATATTTTCTGTCTTGTAAAATTAAGTTTTATTGCTTGTATTTACAGTTTCAAATGCAAAATCTGAAATTGCTAATAATATCTTGCTACTTTAGTCTTCTGGGTGCATTTAAACCATGTAAATCTGCAAGAGTTGCTTTAAGAGCCAGAGTAATAGCAAATAAATAGTCTTCCTTGTACTGTGGGAGGAGGGTGTGTACTACATACAGCATCTTAAACTTCAGGAATAAATGTCTTGTTAAAGAAATAAGCTTAGTCTAGCCTTCTAATATTTTGTAAATGTCAGTTTGGTAAAACACCACCTTTTTGTAGTAGCTAATTGAAATCTTGTTTGTAGTCTCCTGTTGTAGTTCGATCTCAAGGACAGCAGCAACAAGAAAAGAAACAATTTGACCTCCTCAGTGACCTTGGCTCAGATATCTTTGCTGCTGCCCCTCCTCAGTCAACTGCTACAGCGAATTTTGCTAATTTTGCACACTTCAACAGTCATACAGGTAGGTATTTGGACCACTATACCCTTTTTAATTGTATAAAATGTAGTTTTAATTTTGATGGCTTTTGACTAAACTTCATGAGATGTATGTAATCTCTGTGCCTTAGGAATGTGGTGTTGTTGAAAGTTTCTTTCAGGTCTTTATAAAGAAAGGTTGAAGACATAAAGACTGACAATTCTGCTTTGGGAAGTGGGGGTTGCTATAGCTGTTCTCTAGGATATGTATGATTACACTGTTTCTGTCTGCTACTAAACTTTAGGTTCTTTGGGGGAGAGAGTGAGAGGATGAGTAATAAATTGTTGAGAGAAGCTGATATCAGACCTTCAATTTTCTTTCTGAAAATTATTAGGAAGAGCATTCATGAAAAGCAAGCAGATACAGAGACTTTAAAGGAGTTCAAATGTATTGATAATAACTGCCAATTTTTCAAAGGAAAAACCAAGGCTTGCCCAGTTTAAAGAGTGATCTCATCTTTTGTGTGTGTGTGTTTGAAAGCTGAGTACTGCCCATGTGAGCAGTATTCTGTAGTTTCAGGAAGGATAAACAAGCCTTGAACATATGTATTGACTGAGGAAAGAGGATAGGCCTTGAATTCTTAGAGGATGACTTCAGTAAAATATATTGAACCCTCAGGGGTTTTTTTTCCCAGCCAAAGACCAAGAGCCATAGAAATGTATCCTAAAGACAAAGTCAATTCTGTGGTCACTGAAGTTTCTTGTTGCTAGCTTGCCTTGTAGTTGTGGGAAAGTACCTTTGCCTGCCTGGTCTGAATGGGCTTTTCATCTAGTTACTCTGAGAGAAACTGTGATGCTGCTAAGCTACTCAGAGAGATTTCTTGCAAATCAGTCCTGAAACTGTTAACAGACAAGATAAACTATGAGGAGCTGAGCAAAATACCCAGATTTATCCAAATTAATGTGAAATAAATGTCTGAATTCAGTAACACTGCAACAGCAATTGTTATTCTGTGTGTTCTGTAAAATCCTTAAAATTAGATTTCATGTTAATGAAAATTTTGGAGGTGTTTTAACTGGGAGAACTTCTGCTGGCCAGTGCTGCATAGTGTTACAGAAAAGGCTGCAGATGGTTAATTTTTTCTAATAATTTCTTTCCAAACTTGTTGCTGAATGATTCTTTATTTATATACCCTTTATTATTCTTAGTGCTTTTTAGGAGCTGAAAATTCCATTAAAGCAGTATTTCAATACTGTGTTCCAAATCTGGGTAAAATTCCACTGCGTCTCTGCTGGGTAATTTTTAGAAGGATAGAAAGCTGTAGGAACACTCCAGAATAAATAAAATCTGAGGAGAGAGTCTGTTAATTTCTGGTCACAAACTAACCATTGTGGTCATTCCCATGACTTCTTACCATAGAGCCCCAAGCAATATCAGTGCTAGAAAATCAGTTTCTAAAAGGCAGAAACCCAATTCTGAGTGTGTGATAGCTGAATATGTATTGCAGACTTGCTACCTGAGGGTGTTTTCTAACTTGCTGTAGTAAAATGCTTGTAAGGCATGTCTTGTGTGCAGTAAGTACAGGGTAGTGTTAGTGAAATGAGTAACAAAATGTTACAGACTCTTCCTTTGGAACACAAGGAGAGTTGATCAGTCTGCCAACTTTGGCAAAAATGAGTTTGAAATGCTCATTAAGGAGCTGTATAAACATGTAATTTTTGTTAGCAATTACACACTGCTAAGGAGGATGGGAGAATTTGCACTTAGTCTAGTGCTCCTTTCTCGAAGTTTATAGTCTGGTCTTCTTGTTTTAGGGCTTGGTTTTAGCTGTGTGTGTAAAGGATGGACTTTTTTCCCTTCCTGTTCACAATACCAACTAAATCACTGAAGAGACCAGCAAATTAGGATCCTGCAATACAAGTTACTGAGTGTGGCAGCTGATAGGAAAATATTAACAAACTTGTCCTGTAATCTGTGAAGTGTAGGTGTAAATCTTGAAAATGATGCAGGAACTGCAATTTGTGATATGTTTCTGCTTTCCAAGTTCTTTAATGTATTAAGCTGGTTCAGGATATTGTTGCTTATTAAAGGGGAAACATACTGACCTTATGTTTGCTGTCAGTATTTAATTTACAAAGTTCTGTAATTTCTGCAAAATCGAGATTTTGATTTGTCTGCAGTTTATAGATTGGTAATTGCAGCAAGGATCAAAATTTTTGGCACCTAAGTTTCTTAAAAACTGATGGAATAGATGACCTGCACAAAAGATTTTACAAAGGTGTAGTGACACAGCACAACTGTATTACAGATAACATGGAAGAAGAAACCTTACCTAGAAAAAACAAAATAGTATAAGAATTATTTTGTGGAGTTGTTTATTTTTTGGGTTTTTTTTTTTTTTACTTTAGGTATACGTAGATTTTATTTTAGTTTTTTTTCTATTTTGCAGTGTTTCATTCCTTTATTACATAGGAGGTAGTACAAACCTCACAGAAGAAACTGCAGAGATTGTAGGAGCAGCTGGCATTGCCATGGCTGGTGTTGTCATCCCTGGCTGTGGCCAACTGGCTTTTGTACTGCCTTGTTGGTCTGCAGTGTCAAGGGCAGCTGTAAATCCATGGCAGTCTGCAACCCCCTGCAGTTCCTGAGCTTACTTAGGATTGTTCTTGGGTTTTTGTGTGGAGAACTGAAGTTTGGAATTGGCAATTTATGTATTGTCCAGGTGCAGGAGAGTACAAGTCTTGCCTGGTCTTTACTTTTGTGTCACATTTACAAAGGTTGACATTTTACTGCATAAAATAAAACAAGATTAATATCAGAATACTCTGCTGAAAAGGTTTTGCAGCAGGACTGTTTGAACATGGGCTCACTTGAAGGTCATCCTTTCTGTGTCAGCTGATACAGTAAAATGAAGTGTTTTGTAATGTAATACACTCCAGTTTTTAATTTGGGCCCAAAAGATATTTCATTTAAGATTCTTGACATAGTTTTCTGTTTGTGTGAGTGATTAAAATGAATAATATTGCCCTTATTCTAGAAGTGACATTTAAGTGCTTAATCCTCTTTGGTCAACTAAACATCAGTCTCTTGCCTGTCCAACTGATGCATTAGGATGAAAGTATCACTTTCATTTTTAAAGTAAATTCTTAATCTATTCCTATTAAAAAACTATTGGTTCAAACACCAAAACAGCTCAAACTTTGCGATTTGGAGTCTGTAAAATGCTGTTTGAACCAATACAGAGGATATCATAGAAGTAATTTTTTGTCTGTTTGTGCCAACTTTTTGCGCACTTCAATAACTTTCCCATGATCTTGCTTTCACTTTGATATTTTTTTTTCTCCTTGCTGACTCCCATGCTGTGGTGGGTTCCAGGTGCCCAGGGGGCTGTGTGTTCACTCTCCCATCAGCAGGCTTGGGGAAGACATGAAAAAGCTGCTGAGTCAAGAGAAAGTAACTGGGCAAACCAGACTTGACTTATTTATTGGCAATAATAGAGTAGGATTGTAAAAGAATAAAACAAAATCCACCTTCATCCCTTCTTGTGAGGTGTAATTTCACTCCTGACCATTTTAGCTCCTCCCCATGAGGGGGCTGAGGAATGGGCATTGCAGTTAAATCAAACGATTTTGTCTCTGTTACTACTTCTTCCTCATGCAGTGTGGGTCCTTTCCATGGGGTGCTGTCCTTCAGGCAGGGCCACAGCTCCTGCCAGAAACCTGCTCCAGCAGCAGCTTTCCATGAGCTCCAGCCTCCTCATGCCCTCCCTCCCTGCCCTGGCATGGCTCCTGCAAGGCTGCAGGGTGAATGTGTTACACCATGGTCCTTCATGGGCTGCAGTGAGACAGCCTTCCTTACCATGCTCTGCTCCATGGGCCTGGAGCATGTCCTTCCCTCCCTCTTAGCTGACCTTGGTGTCTGCAGTGTTTTCTCTTGCATTTTCCTCACTCCTCTCTGCCACAGCTGCTGCACTCTGGTTTTTAACCTTTTTAACCACAGTGCCCCAGCCAGCACTGCTGTAGCCTTGGCTTTGGGCAGTGGTGGGGCAGTCTGGGGGCTGCAGCAGCTGGGTTTTTAACCTTTTTAACCACAGTGCCCCAGCCAGCACTGCTGTAGCCTTGGCTTTGGGCAGTGGTGGGGCAGTCTGGGGGCTGCTGCAGCTGTGCAGCAATGGGGGCAGCTTCTGTTCACTCCTCCCAGGGACCACCCTGGCTGCTCCCTGCTGCCAAAACCATGCTCTGTAACCTAATGCTTATGCACATGGTTTATTAAATGTGGTATTGAGTCCTGCCAAACCTCACTTTCTCCCAGGGTACTCTGAGAAGGAAAGTGCAGGCACTTTCCTGCTAATTTATATTAGCAGCATTGTGGAGTACAGTAGTTTGTATTAAAATGTCTTTTCAGTTTTTAAGTTTATAGTACAGATATTTTTGAATAGAAATTAATTTAAATAATACAACTTTTAATTAGCACTATCAGATTATTAAGTTACAGTACTTCAGCAATCAGCATAATTTATTTGTATATACTTAATCTGCAAAATCTCTCCAGAATAAACAAATTCTAACCTAAAAATATAATGTATTGCCATCTGTTATTCCAGAAGGTGTTGTGTGAGCTTTCTTTAGATTGCAATTCAAGTTATCTTTATAAAAGGGTTTGGTTTGCATTTGATTAAAAACATTTTTTCCTTTCTTGCTTATAATAGAGTTGAAGGGCTTCTGTGGAGCTTACCAGTTAGGTGTGCAATTTCTGTTGAGTCTATATATGCTTGAATGTCCAGCTGGTCAAAATTAGATTAGTGTTAACTTCTATTTTCTCCTAAAGTATGGCACAAAAGGAAGGCAAAAAATGAAGTTTTACTTGAAATTTCCTTGGATTTAATTTTGTGGATACACCAGGAATGCTATCTTCTTGTCACTGGCATTGATGTTTCCATATTTCTGTACTCTGATTTAGTTTTTTTATAGACTGAATTTTCCAGTTAAGTGAATTTATAAACCTAGCCAAAACTATTCAGGCTGTGCCAACCAAAATTCACCTGAGGAAGAAGCACTTGGTGTATGAGGAATTTGAATTGCCAATGTGTTACAAGAATACCTTCTGATTTTTGTGCACAAAGAAATGTTCAGTCAGCTCACAAGTTCTAGTTTTGGAAACTAGGTATTCTGTACTTTGTGGCTGTTTTTTCCTGAGCAGGCAGCACTGCAAGCACTGAGGGTTAAGCTGGAGTGGATCCCATTGGGTCATGTGAGCAGGAGCTTGTGTGGGAAGGACAGGAGTGGCATTAACTGATACAGCTCTGTGAAGGTGATTTGGGAGAGCTTGTTCAAAGACAACTTTCAATTGTAGAATGACATGTAATTTTCTTTATGTCAAAAGCAGCACATGTATGGTAGGACATAACCCTTGAAGGCTGTCATGACCATGAATTCAGTTAATACATCTGTTTTTGTGTTTATTTCCCATATCCATTAACATGTTTTGTTCCTTTGCGATTTACAGCGCAGAACTCTGCCAATGCAGGTTTTGCAAACTTTGATGCATTTGGACAGTCTAGTGGCTCGAGTAATTTTGGAGGTTTCCCCACAGCAAGTCAGTCTCCTTTTCAGCCCCAAAATACAGGTAGAAGTCCTAGCACTTTTGATTAATCCTTAATTGAAATAATCCTTACCTTTATGTTGAAAGGTACCGAAGTTGAGTTTTTCTTGCATCTGCCTGCTTTAATGTGATCAAGCCATCTGAAGCTCTGGGGAAACTCAAAATGAATTCCTTGTGTTTGGTGTTGATTTTTTTTTTCCCCTAACGCTACTCAAGTCTGATTTATGGCACTGTGTTTGTTAGCTCTACACCTGAAATAACTATGAAAAGAATAAACTCTACTGGTTTTAAGAAGTATTGAATTGACTCTGTCTTCTAAGAGAAGCACTTCAGTAGATCCAAAAGGATGTCACAGTACCAAACAAGTGTGTGTCTATGCATATGTATGGCATGTGCACACACTTCAATATGTTTGACTTCATGTGTAGAGCCTGTTGCTAAGATTTATTTTGCTTTCCTTTAATTTGATCATGCTTTAGAACTTCTGCTTGAGTTTACACTTGCTGTTTGTCTAGATCTTTGGCTGACTGACTTTCTTTTCCTTTTTTTTTTTCTTTTGAGTGTGGTGTTGTTTTAAACTTTTTTTTCAAATTTTCTTTCTCCCTTCTTATGTTAACTTTAACCCACACACAATTTCTGGCTGTCCAGCGTTCAGAACGCTTTCATCTAGCTGCAGTTTTGGTGAATTTACTTCAGCTTTTCCTCTCCAGGCTGTACACAGTAAGTTCCACGCAGTGGAAAACTCAGCTTGCTTCATTTTATGCCATTGTAGTATAGCACTTCCATTCCTACTGTTGCATATGTTTCAACTTGTTGCTTATGCTTTTAGAAAGTTGTATTTCTGTTTTAGAAAGTTCTGTAGTATGAGTGGAATCATCGACCAACTGTTATAAAATGTGATGCACTTAATGGAACAACTCATTTAAATCTGTGACCTGCCTAGATTAAATTGTCTGGACAATGAAGAGATGGAAGCTCATGGTGTCATACTTGATCTGAGGTTCAGTTGTATGGACTCATATCAAATTTATAAAATTGATTTATGTATCTCTGACTTCAGTGGAGATTTGTTATAAAAGGGCTGTGTTGTGTCTTCCCCCAACCTCTTTCCTGATTGGATGCAGTCTAAAACTCTTGAGAACAGAGAACAAAACTCTTTAAACCTGGGCATGAAATCATATAACTTTTGGACTTCCAGGCACTTTTTTTTTTGCTTAGGATTATAGCTGACATCTGAAATGACTAAACATTGAACCACTAAGCAAATGTAAATAGTAGTTATTTGTTAGCCACATATGGTAGGGAAATGAAGCTTCCGTATTTTGAGTATTAAAGATTAAGACAAATGAATCTTTTTCCAGGAAGCTTTTATTATTGAAATTACTTTTAACAGCTAAAAATAGCATATACTTTTCAGGATCAAATTATAACTGTGATTTAAAGTGTTGAAGTTTGGGGTGTTTATCCCTGATATGCAGTCAAAACACTATTTTATGATTTTTTTCTGATGGCCCACTGAACTTTGAAGGAAATGGGAAAGAGCCTTAAATGGGTAGGATGGGGCAGGCAAACACATTGCCTCACATAGCCACAAAGGGAGGGTTATTGTGCCATCAGTTACATTTGGAGAAACTTCCTAACTTTGGAGCATTGATCATGTTTAACTTAATTTGTTACAGGTGGAAGTGCTGGATCAGTGAATGCTAATTTTGCTCACTTTGATAACTTCCCCAAATCCTCCAGTGCTGATTTTGGATCCTTCAATGCTTCTCAGAGCAACGCCACAGCAACTGCAGCCAGTAAAGCTGCAGTGAATAAACTGAATCTTCAGTCAGCTGACAAATATGCAGCTCTTGCTAATTTAGATAATATCTTCAGTGCAGGGCAAGGTATTAAACTTTATTGTTTGCCATGGTTATTCTATATGTGTATAGTTACCACAAGGATGGCTGTCCTTGTCAAAGTACTGTTACAGTATTTCAAAATTTCTCTAAGTGATCAGCAGAATTTTGTTTCGATGTACCCTTAAATGTGCAAGATACGAGTTTTAAGACATCATTTCAAAAGGATGTCATTAGAAGACTGCTGTTTGGGAACCTATTTCCCATTGAGATGAATAATTCAAAATTAAAATATCTAAATAATCATTACTTCAATAATGAAAACATACAAAAATACAAATACATATTTTATATTTGTACTACAACCTAGAGTGGATGCTCTGGAATGGAGAGCTGCAGTTGTTTCAAATAGTTACCAGAGCAGTTTTCTTCCTCTCTGCCACAAAAACAATTTGCTTTAGTTTTTCTTAAAATAGTAGCAATGATAATTGGATTTAGTTGATCATAAATTGAGGAGAAAAAGCTACTTATTCTGTTACTCAAATGTAGTTCTTCTCAAATGGTGTGTTAAAACTTATGTTCATTTGTACTCTAGAGGTTTTTTCTGAAATGGATTATTCGAGGTTAGGTGTTTTGTTCATTTTCTAGTTGAAGATGAGTGAATTATTTTTCTAGGAAAACAAAAGCTCTTTGGGGCTGCAGAGTACCTATAGAGGCAGGACATTTTGCTGACAGCTAATGGCTTGTTAAATACTTTTTCCTCTATGCCCTAGTGCATATTTAATTTTTAAGTCTGCAGCTGTCTGTGAACTTTGATGTAGTTCTCAGTGTCAGCAGGGCAGAAAGTGAAACTATCTCCAGTATGCTTCACCTGCTTCCTTTCCTTCTAGGTGGGAGTGAGCAGGGAAGTGGCTTCAGCACAGCAGTGTCCTCAGCAGGCCCTGCCCTGTCAGCCCCCAACCAGTCAAGTGCATCTTCGGACAAGTACGCGGCGCTGGCGGAGCTGGACAGCGTCTTCAGCTCCACGGCCACCTCCAGCAACGCCTACACCGCCACCAGTAACGTCAGCAGGTGCGCTGCCCGCTGCCCACCCTGCCTGCAGCAGCTGCAAGGCGTTTCTCAAACCTCTTCTTATCCAAACTGGGAAGCATTGAATGAGTTTAGAGGCAGTGCTGAAACTGCATCTCTTGTTTTCAATAATGGCAGGACTGAGGGATGGCTGACTCTAGGAATACTGTCAGCGGAATGTTCTCTACATCTTTCTAATCATGACGTGCTAAACCTGTTAGATGGTAGTAGCATTTTGCTCTGCAGAGCGCCTGTATGCTTACTCCAAGTCAGAGGATCATCTCTGAAAAAAGAATTCAGATATTTTTAATGTAAATGGTGCCACCCATTTCTGGATCACTGAAGTAACAAATACCAAATGCCTGTTAGGGGCTTGGCATTGCAAGTGCCCCTAAGGCTTTTGCTTTGCAACCTTTATGCTGCTGGCCTTAGTTCTATATTCCTTCTCCTGCTGTTGGTGGAGATGACTTTCCATTGCTCAGCACCAGTGAGAGTGTCTCACCCTGGCATCAGGGAGGTACACTGCAGTCTGCAACCTGCACATGAATGTTCATCCCCTTTCTTTTACATGCCAGCAGTAACTGTAAATTGTACTTAATTATTAAACAAGCAATTCTGACTTCACTGAATGGATTGTATAAATTATTTCCAGCAATGCTTTTGGAACAGTACCTGTAGCTGCTACAGCACAGACGCAGCCTGCATCTTCAAGCGTGCCTGCTCCATTTGGAGGTATGGAAGTGTTACTAACACCCTTGGGGACTATAAGTAAGCAGTCTACTAATTTTTACTTGATAATGCTCTGCTTTGACACCACTAGTACTGCTAATAAAGGTACTGTTAACAAAAAAGTACTTCTGTCAAAATAACTGTATTTTTAATGTATCTTATATATTCCTGATTTTTGGCCTAATTTTAGGTATTTATGTCTCTTTCTATAAAAGTTGTATAGACTTCATGTGAGTGAAATTTGCTGTTAGAGAAATGCTTACTTAGTAAAATGTCTTTAATCTTTCAGCAACGCCTTCCACAAATCCATTTGTAGCTGCCCCTGTTGCCCCAGTGGCACCTTCAACAAATCCATTCCAGACCAATAGCCGAGGAGCAACAGGTTAGGAAAAAATACACTGAGTGTTTGAGAAACTTTCTTTAAAGAATTGCATTGATTCTTTTTCCTGTATCTGTGTAATATGTTTCTTAAAGAATTTCTGTATTATCTGTCCCTAGTCTGTTTGACATGTTGTGTGTTTGCTCAATGTTGAAGTGCAATTCTAGGATTTCAAATGGTGGTGATGAACAATGTCGAAATGATCTGTTTGAGCTCTACCTGTTTGTGGTTTATGTATCACCAGCTGGCTTCCTTCCAAGACTATAACCTTGGCTTTAGAGCATGCTTTATAGAAGGTAGCCCTGAAATCAGGGATCTTGAAACCTCTTCTGTTTAATTACTTTCTTTATTTCTAAGTGTTGAAAGCTCTCAAAACCGAAGAGCTGGAGCCAGAACCATCCCAAGGCTCTTGGGATGCTAGCTCCTCACCATTCCACTTAATTAGTACATTAGTGTCTCTTTTTTAAAGCATATGATTAATCTTTACACTCATTTTTTATATTAATTTTCTGTGGGGTGATTCTGTAGAATCATAATTCTATGGGCAAAATGTAATCACTTTTTAAGAAAGCAAACTTCTACTTTAAAATTATGGACTTGGATTAGATGGCTGTTAGGTTATGCTGATTTTCCTCTACAGAGCAAGTGCTAAATTTTGACATTTTCATTTATTAGCTGGACTTCAACAGATAAAAATCTGCTGATGTGTGCATTTTGACATTTGAAATGTGGTTTGCTCAGTGATTTAGGTAGGCTGAGTTAAAAACCGATTTGATAAATTTTTGTCCTCTGCTAAAATTATTTCTGTTTTCAGTCCTTTTTGAGATATTATGCAGCTAAATTTGTTCAGATATTTAATGCCCAAAATACCTTTTTTCTTTATTTTAATCCCATTCCTAAATGGGCTAGTTTGGGTCATTGTTAAGAATTTCTAGCCTCTTCAGATAAATTTCTTGAGTATGGCACCTCTGTCCTTCCACCTTCTATGCAGCTGTCCCTGGCTTGCTGAGGTTCCAAGCCTTTGGCAGCATCCTGGTGTTCCACGCTGGGTGACAGAGATAATGTCTATAAGTAAAGATAATGTTCATTCCCTTTTAGTGTAAGGTGTAAACTTCCAGCTTGTCCTTTTATGTGTTCTTCCTGCATGAACGTTGCTGTTTAATACATGGGAGATCTATTTTGTAGAGTTCATTTCTCATGGTTTTCTAATACTAATCTATGGCTGGTCATGCTATTGATGAACTGTTTGGTACATATATGTGTATCTATTTCTCTATATATATATATAAAAAACTAAGAAATTACTGTTCAAGAGTGTATAAATGATTTGACATTGTCTGGTCTCTTTGTGGCTTCCATAAGGCCTCTCGGGAGCAATGCACTCTCACATATTTCCTCAGGCTCATTTTGGTAGGTGGCCACATTTGGTATCAAGTTTCTTGTGGCTAATTGTTCTTGCGTGTAAAAGCTTATTGGCAGCTATCTGGTTCTCTGCACAAAGCATTGTGGAAGGCTTCTTAAAAATGGAGTGGGTGTGGGTATTTGGCAACTGGGCAGAGGGAGAGAAGAGCATACATAGACATCCTGTTGAGCAACCAAAACAAAACCATTATTGGTATCATCCACGGTCACCATATAGTGCTTATGAATGACTGTTGAAGTTTCTGCCAACAGTAGTTTGATGCCTTTTGGGATATCCCAAGTCCCCTGCTGATTTTGTTGTGCTTATTTTTGCTGTTTTAGCCAAGTTTGCTGTGGATTAGCTGCTCTGCTCACTGTAACTTGAGAACAGTGTTAGTACATTAGTTTTGCGTGCACGTGTCTACACTTTGTCTGTACAATGTCTTGCCCTTGAACACTTTTGGGGTAAATACTTCAACTGATAATTAAGCTATATTCATTAAATTTATTTTATTAGCTTTATTAAACAGTTGAGCTTGCATAAAGTGTAACTTGTAACATTTCAAAAGAGAAGTCCTGTTTAACTAGTATAGAATACCTGGTGTCTGTATTTGTACCAAAAATCTTCCTATGCACTTCTCTTTTCATGAATAACTCCCAAAAGACTGAATAATGGTTTTGTTACTATACTTTTGCACCTCATGTGCTCCTGTTTATTTGCTGAAGGCATGGGGAAATGCTTATGAGCTGTGTGTTCTTTACTTGAAATATTCAGCAGAGAATCAGATGAAAAGTTTTGGGTTCTTTTTGTTTTAAGTTCTACCTCAACAGTCAGAGAGTTTGCAACAGAAACTTTGTGTGCAAATAACGTGCATGGTGAGAATCTCCTTAAAGACATTAAAGATGGGATTATAAAAGGGGATGCATGTATCCCTTTGTTTTTGTTCTTTTTTTTTTTATTTATAACCTCCTGTAGTGCAGCTTGAAGTAGGAAAGTTCTTTCATGCTTTTCTAAGGAGAAAAACAGAGGGGCTTAGGCTGCCTGAACCTGCTTGCTTCTTATGTGTACAGACTTCTACCAGAAAAACTGTGGGGGAAATATATGATAACGTGTGGAAGAAAAAATAATTTCCTCTTCAGAAAGTATATCTGAATGTGCTGGATCTATTAAATTTTAAATAACACCATTCATTTTTAAAGTGTAAAGGCAAATTATGCACCCAGTTGAGGGTGATGGAAGGGAACAAATCAGTTCAGTGAGTGGCTGTGGAAGTTGAACCAAACTTTTGTCCAGTCACATAGGGCATTAGAAGACTTTTAACATGGCCTTATAGTAATTTGTTTCATGAAAAAAATTATTTCTTACAAATAATTGCATGTTATTTTTTGCCTACCAGCAGCAACATTTGGTACTGCATCCATGAGCATGCCGGCAGGATTTGGAACTCCTGCCTCCTACAGTCTTCCTACTAGTTATAGTGGCAACTTCCAGCAGCCCACGTTCCCAACCCAGGCAGCTTTCCCTCAACAGACTGCTTTTGCTCAGCAGCCAAATGGTAGGTGTGCATGTTTTAGATAACCTTGTCTAAATCAGAAACATGGAGAAAATGCTCTGTCTATAAGTTGGCAATAACGGGTGGATATTTATTTCTACATGAACTTGATAGTAATGTTGATGAAGGGTTCCCACACTGTTCTGGCTCTGTAGATGAGCCTTCTGACTTGGCTGTGTGCAGTTGCCTATTTACCAAACTTAAATTTTACCAGAATCTCATACTAAAATGGTAAGTATTCCCAGGCTTAAAGGGGTTTTAGGCAAGAAGGGCTGTTGGGGAATTATTGGGGATTACACTTCCTCTAACTTCATAGAACACAGGCAAGAGAAAATTGGAAAGCATTTTATCCCTGAATTTATATGATATAACATTGAAAAAGGTGTATATGTAGAAATTGGAGATTGATGAGTTGCGAACAGTTGAAAACAAACAAAAAACCAAAAAGCTCAGCCACAGTGTTTGACACTTGCATTCCTGATCATGTTTGAGTAGGATCAGTCCTGCTGATTCTGCAGTTCAAACTTGCACATAATTTTGGCTGGGAGCTGCAGCAAAGAACTCTTTGAACATTGTTTACTAGTATTAATATTATTTTGCTTTTCTTTCCAAGGAGCAGGTTTTGCTACATTTGGGCAAGCAAAGCCTGTAGTAACTCCTTTTGGACAAGTTGCAGCTGTTGGAGTATCTAGTAACCCTTTTATGGTGAGTTGTTGCATGTTAATGACTTCTGTGTGTCCAAAGAAGAATAGTCTGTAACACTGAATTTAGAGATACACAAAGATTAGGGAGTTTTATTGCTTTTTATAATGGAAGGAAGCATGTGACTCTCCCAACTGCAGCTCACTGTTTGGATTTATGCTATTTGTAAGGATGTTCAGATCAAAGCAGAAGTACTTTGATACATATTCCCAGAGTAGTGTTATTCCAGAGAAGCAGCAGAAAGCAGATTGCAGTATAAAACAGAAGTACTCCCCAGCAGGTTATTTTTTTTAAATATATTCTGCATTTATTATTTACAATATGGAAAAAAAATCTTAAAATACTTGCCTTATTTTTCTTTGTTCCTTTTCCCCCAGGCTGGTGCACCAACAGGACAATTTCCAACAGGAAGCTCATCAACCAATCCTTTCTTATAGCCTTATAGACACTTTACCCAAAAGAACTCTTATGTGGTCACATAACATCTCTGCGCCTCTTGCACTGTTGTCTTGTTTCACTGATATTAGCTTTAAACACAAAAGAAGTCTTTAAGAAGTAAAAATAAAAGCCTGCATTGTGTACCTTTAAAAAGTTTCAAAAAGGAAAAAAAACCACCACCCAACACAAAAAGCAAGAAAACCAACCCCCCACCAGGTAATAACGTGCAAAACAGAGGGCTGTGGTTACATCCTTGAACCTGTGAAGTGGCAGGTACAAAGTAGCGGTATCATGTGTATTACAATTGGCTAATAAGTTATTGCAGATACCACACTCATTATGCTGCAGTACTGTACATATTTTTCTTAGAAAATAGCTATTTGTGCATATCAGTATTTGTAACTTTAACACATTGTTATGTGAAAATGTTACTGGGGAATAGATCAGCCACTTTAAGGTGCTGTTGTATCTCTTGGAATGAATGAGCTGCATCATTTTAACCATTGGTATTGGAAGTCACGAAGTTAAATTGAAGGTTTGTTCATTTCTCAAAATGTTTTCCTTTCCTAAGAGCTCTTCTATTTATACATGCCTAAATCTCTAATGTTAGAGGGATACCTGTCTGCATAATAAAGCTGATCATGTTTTGCTACAGTTTGCAGGTGAAAAAATAAATATTAGAAAAAAAACCCCTGTGTAGCATTATTTCTGTGCAGTAACATGTACTGGATGAAAATGTACACACTGCGTCTTGTATACAGATGAAGTGTCCAAAGCAGTGTGTTTAAAGGTGAGCTAAGCCTAAAATTTTCACATCCTCACTTGGATGTGTTTCTTTTTGCCCTTGTGATGAAGCTCACTGTTCTAGCTCAAGTGAAGTGACCTGTCACACAGGAGAGTGTTAGGTGAGGTTTGGATTGTTTGCATAGAGTATGTCACGAAGGACGCTGGAAGCACTGGCAAGGGTAGTTATTGGAGAGGAGGTTTGCAGCAAAGGACACCTTATTATGGGTAACTAATGACAGGCTCTGAACAAGCCTTAGTTGTGCTCTGAACAGTGTGTAACAGCAGGCCAAGGAACCACAGATGTAATAGCCCTCTCTTTATTAAAAACTGATACCTATCAGTAAGAGCTCCTGTGGAATATTAAATTTATTTTTTTAATTTACAGAAATATTTTGTGCCATACTACAGTGAAACTTGTAGGGGAAAAATGTCTGGCTTGTCTTCCTCTGTAACAGTGATAAGATTCAAGGAAAATATAACTGCATCAAAGTAGTTGGTGTTTTAAACAGAGATAAATTTGGCTACAGTTCAAGTGTAATACTGGAACTAAGCAAATAATGTAAGTATATTGTGAATACATAAACTGCAAGCTTAAAGGTTTCTGACCAGCTGGAGAATAAAATTCTAACAGATCTTAGGATAATAGGAATAAATAAGGTGAGATTGACTTCTTTTTAAAAAGAACATGCAAGTCCATTTGAGATAAACATGAAAATTCTTCAAGGTAAGACATTTCACTTGTAATTGACTGCCTGAATGTTGGCTAGGTTTTTCTAGGGCATCTGAAAGGTTTGACCTCTGCTTGTAAAAACATTTGTACAATCCCCACAGACTTTTGTTGCCTGCCTGTGGGGATTGTAATTTCTTTTTGGTTTTGTTTTTTAAACTTTGGAGATACCAAGCTGGAGACAGGCAACTCATAAAACATGCTGCAAGTTTTCTGAACTTAAATGTCTGGTTTTGTCCTGTTGGTATATTTAAAACAGGCTTGAAGGCTCTCTTTTGTTTCTGATGGAGACTGCTCAACAGTGTGGTGTTCAGTTCAGTTCCCAACATTCTCTGAGGAATTCACTGAAGAAATCCCCAGCAATTGGAGGTTTGCAGGGTATTAGTAACACCCTTACTCTCACCACTGTATTTTAGCACAGTGTAAATAGTTGTAACTCTCCCTGTTCCCCAGCCTTGGCTGTTTTGGATAGTATGAGGTAAATGCAGTGGAGAGTGGAGAACTGCAAGGGTTCAGCTGGGCTTGTGGCGTATTTAAAAATGCTTAGTGCAGAGAACTGGACCGAATCAAAGACATGTCTTGTCAATGAGATGAAAAGTGTTATGAAAGAACAAGAATTCTGTGCCTTCTTCACTTACAGTGGTGTGAATTACGCTTTGGGCAAGGGCTAATGAGACCAGCATCTATAGAGATTGTTCTAATCCAAATATTACTGCTGAGATACTGAAACTGATTGAAGTATGCAAGGCATGTAGTTTAGAATATGCTGTAGAAGTCTTTATTTTTCATAACTGACTTATGACAGGTAAAAGGTTTGCAACTTTAACTATGCACAAGCACACCTCTTTAGTCTGTGTTCATGGATTTTAGATTTGTCCAATTCCAGATAAGCTGAAGATCTTGTATTGTTTTGAGTTTTCTGTATATTGAGCATTAACTGACACCATTAGTGTTTCGTTGATTAGGTTTTAAATTAGCTTTATTTACAAAATGAATTTTTCACCTCTGATTTTAAATGTTTTTTTTATCATGGAGATCTCTGCAGTTATTCCCTTAATTGTTCATGCAAATAGCATAGTTGCCTAAAAGCTGTATGTTTGTGCTTTAGCATCAAAGCACTTCACTTGATAACTCTAGGCCCCTTATACAGAAATTAATATGGAGCCCTCTTAATTAGACTTCAGTCCTAAACATCAGCTGTTACAAGTGTAAGAAGATGCTATACTTGCAGGACCATCCTGAGCTCTGTAAGGCAGATGTGATGTCCAGTTGAGAAAGCCTTGAAGTTTTCCAAAGGCTTCTGTGACAAATTATCTGAAAAGTCATTGTATGGTTCAACTGCTTTAGATTGCCTGGGCATGTCTGATGGTCTTCTGTCAGTGAATAAGTTGCCTTAAATTGAAATACTCAGTAGAAGGCAAAGTCCCAGGGTTGTTCTGTGAGTTCCTCTGGTGTGAGGTTCAGGCATTTGTATGTCCTTGTGCTCACTGAGCCTTAATAGAAATTTGTATGCCAGATCACTAAACTTGAATTAGAAGACTGTTTGAGGAATGTTTGTATTAAACTTTTGGTGAAGAAAATGGAGCAAATGCATCATCTTGTTGACAAAGCTCTCTCTGCAGTAGGCTCATGAACAGCTTGCTTCAACCTGGACCAGTTTTCCTTGATTGAATGTTATATTTCTCTTGATTTCTTGTCCAGATGACGGAGCCTTCTGCATTGTTGCTTGTAACCATTGTTTTTGTCTTGGTTGTTAAGGGGCAGTGCTTTCAGCAGCCACACTTGTATTTCTGCATTTGATGGAAATTATGGTGTACACGCTTCTGATCAGGAAAATTCCAGTTATGACTGCGAAGTAGCTGCCATAAATGAGAAACTGGGAAATGGAGGTGGGGAGGAAGAAAAGTAGTTATCCAACAGGAAAAACAGTTTTTGATTCTAAGGGGTGTCTCTCCATTGCTGCCTTCCCTTCCCTGTTACATGTGCCCAGAATGTCCCTATCTTGAGAGGATTCAAGAAGTCTGGACTGCTTGACTTTACACTATAGAAATTCTGTGGTTGTAAAAGGGGGAGACAAGGTTCTGATATGTCCTTCCCCACCTCAGTAAGGGAGGACAGCTGTCTTGCACTTTGTCTTTTTTCTGGGAACATGAAACCTAGAGTCTTAGACTCATTCTGTGTCTCCCTTTAAACTAATTTTAGAAATTTAATGGGGAATTGCAATGAGTTAATTTTCAGAATTACAGTAACTTTAAAGGTGTGTCCACTGGAACTATGTAACTTAGAATTACCCTAGTAATTGACCTGTAGGTTGTCTTTCAACTGGCTTCCTGCTTCTGGTTATTAGGGTATTTTGACTATAAACTTGTGAATAGTAAGCCTTGAATTTAAAGAATACCCAAAGTAATAGGTGGTCACCTTTGCCCTCTGTTTTGTGAACACAGAATATTTTCCAGTCATCCCAGTACTGGGAGTCCTAGAGGACAAACAGGTTGTAGTAGTTCAAGCCAGTAGACTTTAAATGAGTCATTTTCCAGGTGAGTAACTGTCCTGAGCTTGCACATTACCACAGGCTAATCTTGGAGTAGAACCTGCTTTTGAAGGAGAGTAAGGAAACTAAGCAGTGGGACTCAGTGGCTTACCTGAGTGCTGATATCCAGTCCCAGACCTCCTGAATCTACTACAACAACAGTTAAAATTGTCTGAATCACCAGTGCAACAAAGTTGTTGAAGCCAAACATCAAAGCATAACGCTCCATGCTGAGGTTGATAGCAATCTGAAACCTGACAATGAATGCATATGTTCACAAAACCGTGGAGAACAAGGACGGGTGGATGCACTTATGGGAACAGTTTAATGGGCACAGTGCACTCTTCAAAGGACAAGATCACTTCAGTCTTGGCTATTAAGCTTTATCAGCTTCATTTTGACAGAAATGTTTTTGGCTTTTCTGGCTTTGTGACTTTTGTGCATCTTATTTACCCTTGAATGAATATTTTTGCTAAATACCTGTGTATATTCATTGGATCATTTTGAGAACACTCATGCCTTGGTTATTGAATGGCCAAGTGCAGAAGCTACCTTGTTCTCTTTTGGAGTGTACTGTTGTAATGGTTAGGTCATATAATTTTGTATATACGGGCTAGTAACAATATATGTTGCTGTCATAACCTGTTTGTATTTATACCTAGGGAAATGTCCAGTAAAATTTTGATAAATATAAAATTTGACAGTGATTTAAATCAATTTAGTTAGAAGAGTTGTGTGTTGTACTTACGTTGCTATTGTTATAAGGAGCATATAGCAAGCTTTAAATGCAAGGTAACCAGCATAACATGCCCAGATGTTGTCAGTGAAGTGCATAAGAAGCAGAGAACCACTATCCAGTGCAGAGAAAATTCCCAAAGCCAGTTCTCCAGAGAGATCCCAGTTTACTTTGACATATCCAACTGCCATGGATGTTGCTGAACCTAAAATTTGAAAAGTAGTAATTAAAACTTGGAAACATTATCATTGAGAGCTGTTGCATAACTGTCATTGGATCATGCCAGGAGCTCTTCAGTCTTGCTCACAGTGGACTTTGGTAATGGTATGGATCATATTTCTTGTTAGGGATGTGGGAGTCTTCTGTTAGTTTGGATGTTTTCTTCCTTGTTTAGACCCTTCACTGCCTGAAGTCCACTGGGAAAGTGCCTAAGGCTGGAGGCAGCAGTGCACTATCTGTTGTGGCTGTTTTTAGACAACTATGAGCAAAGGGAAGAACAATCCCACCAAGCATTTTCTGTCAAAATATGTATAATGAGTTTAGTTGCTTCATGTGAAGTTCTTTACGCTTTATGGAAAGAAAATCTTAGCACTTTATGCCTTTTTTGTTTTACTGGAAGTGTATTTACAGGTTCAGATGAAAAGCCTTATGAAACTGCTTTTTTCATTTTCTTTTTGGCCTTCCCTTTTTAAACCCTTACTTGAGTCAATTACAGTGTAGCAAACCCCATGTTCTCAGGTGGGCTAGCAGAAAAACTAGACTTTTTTTGCTGGTTATATGTGGTGTTCATCAGAATTCCAGAAATTGGAGCAAACCAATCCCTTTGGTCCATCCCTGCCATGAGCAGTGGTTCCCAGTGCTGTGAGTGTCTTCTGTACTCTGAAGGTGTGTCAAATGCCAAGTAAGGGCAAGAAAGACTTTGGGAACTCTGTTCAAAGCAATAGTCAGAAGTTCTGGAGTAGCTTCAGTAAAATGGATTTTCAGGCTGATTGCAGGGAGGAAAAGTAACCTGACAATTGCCTGTAGCAGTATGGGATACAGCTCCCGGAATATGGGGAGAGACAGCTGTGTAAATGGGAGCTCCATAAGGAGGTTGTATTGATGCTGTACAGCCATGTAAATGAAGTTTCACTTTACCCATACCCTTCTGTGGCTAAAGAGAAATGGAATTTGGGTGGATCAGGTAACTAATGAGAAGCAGAATGGCTGAGGTTGGAAGATATGGAGGTCACATGGCCCTGTTAAAAGCTGACAGCTAAAGGAAACTGCTCAGGATTGTGCCTAGGTTTTGACTCTAGGATGGAGAGTCCACATCTCTGGCCAACCTGTTCCTGTTTAAAATCACCCTTGGAATAAAAATGTTCCTCTGTGTTTAAGTGGAACTTTGCTTGATTTTGTGCCCCTTGACTCTTGTCCTGGCACTGGCCACCACTGGGAAGAGCATGGTTCTATCCTCTTTGCTCCTCCCCTTCAAGTCTCCATGCACATTAGTAAGATTGCTTGGTTTTCAAGGGTAAACAATTACAGTGCTCTCAGCCTTGTCACATCACAGAAATGGTTTCACAAAATATTCTAACTTGGAAGGGACCCACAAGGACCATCAAGTCGAACTCTGAAGAGAATGCCCCATACAGGGGTTGAGTACAACCCCTTAGTTGTGGCAAACATGCCAATCAGGACACAGATGTAGTCAGGATATTTGTTGAGGAGCACTGAGACTGGAATGATTTTTAATCCAGTGTCTAAATAGGCATTTTCACAGTATGCTCTGAGTAATACTTGAGGAGTGTATCTGCTAACATGTTCTTTTAATTCTTAAACCAGCCAGCTTAAGGTGTATTTGAAGGAGGAATATGGAAGATATCATTGCACAGTTTTAATGTGCTTACTTAAGGTTAAAGACGTGGTCTAAACAGAGCAGTAATCTTAAAATATTTTGGCAGAATGAGTCTCCTCTAAGAAGGAAAAGCTTATTTATATATGTTTTTAAGACTAATTTTGAAGAGCCCACTGTAAAAGTTTATAGTAAAATCATGCTTTGCACACTGTTTATCTCTGTTAGTTTACTTAGCTCTCATAGGAGGTGGAAAGGTACCAAACACATTTCTGAAGAGTCCCTCAGCACAGGATGGGTTACAAGTACCTGCTAATGATTGCTTACCCAAAAACGTTGCTATGGCTTCCACAGCTCCGTTGTAGACTGCGGAGCTGTGCGAGGGGGCTCGCAAGTCCCACAGCACCTGGACATAATTCACCACCTGGTTGAAGCCGGCCGTGGCCAGAGCCCACCACAGGGACCAGCAGAGGAGCTTGCGGGAGCCGTAGCAGTGCCTCAGGTCCCTGCCCAGCTGCAGCAGCACGCCCAGCAGGTGCCCGTGGGGCCCGGCACTGCCGGCCTGGGGCTGGGGGCTCGGGGCCCCGGCAGCAGCGTCAGGGCTCCTTTCCTCTGGGCAGCTCTGGGGCCCGGGGGCAGTGCCCGCGGCCAGCCCTTTGCCAGGCACGGGCTCAGGGGCCTCTTTCCTGTGGAAGAACATGCTCCTCCGGGGCATGGGCAGGAAGAGCGCGCACACGAACGCCAGGGACACGGAAGCCAAGCTGATGGCGTTGAGGTGGAAGTAGGAGACGCCTGCTAAGGACACCAGCAGCTGTCCCAGCACGGCGGCCACGGTGGCTGCCACCAGAGTGACGCTCCTGCAGTAGCTGGTGACCCTCTGGTAGTGTTGGCTGCTGACCACGCTGTAGATGTAGGCGTAATAGGCCACCTCGGTGGCTGTGACCATGCCATAGAAGAATTCCACCAGCTGCATGGCCACCACTCCGTGTGCAAAGAGCAGCAGCAGCCATGTGACGATGAGGCTGAGGCCCTGCAGGAGGAGGACGGGCTTGTAGCGCACGTAGTCTGTGAGCAGGAACACTGGGAAAAGGAGAGCCAGGTAGGAGTATGTCCAGACTGGAAAAATCTGGTTGGTAACCTAGAACACAATGAAAGAGGAGATGTTAAACAAACGAAGCAGCCCTGACCCCCCATATGTTTAAAATACCCTCTTGGATGGTTTTTGATGGTGTTACTGCTGAAATGACATAGTTGTGATCATGTGAAACATTGGAATGTGTGAACAGTGCAGGCTTAAACTGCTTTTAGTTACCAGACTCTGACTTCACTATGTAAGGACTAAAGACAGTGATGCTATTCTCCTCTAAAGAAACAGATTGGCTTAACAAGTAATTCCAGTAAAGGCCTATGAAGAAGGCAGGTTTTATGTGCAACTGTTTGAAGCAATTATGACTTTGTGTCTGATGTCTCTCTGGTTTCAAATCCTATTCCCTCCAGTATATGAAAATGAAGGGCTATTTTAACTTAATGTGAATCATTGTATACCTTTGGTCACGTCTTTCCCTTGTTAGGTATAGAAAAAAAAAAGTATGTGCTTCTTACAAAGGGGAACTGGAACTGCACAGAGTGTGTAACTGCTACTAGTGTACTGCACCTTTTATGGTTTTTTCTGATTTAAAGTAAATTTGAAGAAGTCTTTCAGTAAGTTTAAGTTGGAGTTAAATACATAGATGGTCTGTGAAGAAATTCTTTCTCTTTTTTCTAAAACTTCTGATTTTGAGTTGGAAGGTGCTTATTGTGGTTGCCACTAAAGCTCAGTGCTTGCCCAGGCAGTTTGGGCACACCTGGGGCAGGTATCCTTATAGATATAGCACATCACAAAGCAACCTTCTGTGACTCGAAGTTGCCTGTTTTGGACAGGTCTTGCCCAGTAATTGTGGGGCCTGCTAAGGTATCCATTCCTATCTCTTGTTCTCTGCTTAAGCAATTAGATTAGAAAGGAACTGTATCAAATGCTGGAGGAATGCTTTTTACTTCTGAACAGGTACTGGAATGATTTTGCATAGTGAGCAGCAGGTTCACTGTATCTTTCTGTGTGACTTCTTTTGTTTCTCTGAACTTAGAATTGCCTCATTGAATTAACTCACTGGAGGTGAGTTTGGCTGAAAGAGACAATATCTGTACTCTGCTTGATTTTGAGTTAAGGATTCTTGCTGAAATCAGAATTAAGGCATCCTATGGTACTATCTGTGTGATTTGTATAAGAAATAATGATTTCTCTTGTGGTTACAAAAAAAAAAAAGGGGGGAGAAGAAAACTCCCTGACAACCTAAACCGTGAATACCTTTTTTCAGCAGAAACCTTGGGTTCACAGTGTGCTGGTGGATTCTGCCTTAACATTTGCTACTGCACATCAGGAATGACTGTTCCTCATATTAGCTGTATGTGGGTGTAGCAAGCCTGTGTTTTCTAATTATACTGTTAGCTCCATGACTCAGCCACGTGTTAACCATGTCCCCTTTTGTTGGGAGGTGTACTCCTCAAGCAGCCAGTGCTGAACACAGCACATAGCAAGGAAGCTTGGAGTGGAGTTTTTGTCAAAAACCCCCAATTTTTCTGAATGTGAACTTAACCTCCAAAGGTTAATGAATGCATGAAATATAGGGAATATAGGAAATAAGCTTACAATTCATAAGGGGAAGGCTGCTTAGCTGTGGAGGCTGCTTAGCTTTCTTATGTTTTGAAATCAATTCTGTCGGTGTAATCAATTCCATGGTAAGTATAAATAAATGTCTCCTCTGGGGTGGAGAGAGGAACTAGCTGACCTGATTTTGCCAAAAATATCAACCACCAAAGGGGTTTCAAAGTCCTGAGCATATAGGGACTTTAAAGTTTGGACCTCCTGCCAGAGGCGACTCCCTACTCTTTTCCAGAAGCATCTTAAATACGGAGCTTTAGATAAAATATTCACACTTATCTTCCCTTCAGTTACTGCTGTAAGGCCTAATGCTTTAAACATTTTAGTTACTGTTTAAGAGAATAGTTACATACCTCTTCAGCTGTTAGGTTTTTGTCTGGTCCTGTTAGATAGGGGGTGAGAAAAGATTCTGATGGCCTCATTGTGGTGAAAAATCCATTTGCACAGATGATCACCGTGGGATAAATCCAGCTGTGGCTTACGGCTCCCTTCCAGCAATCCATAATCTACCTAAACAAAAAAAAAAAGAAAAAGGTGTCAAAGAAAGAATAGGTGCTCTTCACAGTTGGTAAAAATTAATTTTCAAGTTTACTTTTTAACTAAACCTGCAGTCACTCCCCTGCAGCCATAACCACCAATGAGGGCTGTGGTGGTGGCATCCAGTGTAACTGGACTTAGGGGGACAGGGGGCAGTGTGACAACCAAGGGCTGCCTGCAGAGGTGGCTCAGATGTCTGGCTGGCGTGCAGATGTAACCAAACCAGTGATCTCAAGCTCTCCTGCACTGAGCTGCACTCCTGGATCTCCTCTTGGGCAGGGACACCTCTGGCACGCTCCTGAGGCTGAGATTCTTTGCTGCAACACATTCTTGGTAAGTGACTAACAGCATGCTCAGCCTTGAAACCTTGGCTAAGTCATATAAAGAACTTATTGCATTTATTGCATAATCCTTTAGATGGAAGCAGTTGACCAAATCTGGGACTAAGAGTGGGTCTAAGCTGCACCCAGGCTCCTCTCTGAGAGGAGTTTAGAACCCAATGACTTAGGAGGAGGGTCTCTCTGAAAGTTTTACCTGATCTTGCCATCTCTGCACTAAATCAAGCACACTTTCCTGTTGAGTCTTGTTAAACCACTGTCACATTTACCACTGAACTTTGTTATATTGATAAAGGGCATTGTCACTTCTGTCTCACGAGTGAAGTGCATGGCTCCACCTGTGCCACATGCCTAAGCCAATGTTCCCTCACTGAACCTGCCTGGCACCACAGCTGCAGTTTGGAAATGAGCAACTGGATCAAGGTGCACCAGCCCTGGTAAACTCTATATTGTCTGTCAAAGGTTGTTCTAGTGCCGTGCTTAGGGCTCAGTGACTGTGCTGTAGCAGAAGAATAAAGTTCCATTATAGCCTCATTTCTGAGTAAATGGGTGGGCAAAGTGTGAGATCAAAGCTCATTCTGTGTGCTCAAGGAGGTTTTTGTCTGTTGATTTGCAAATCTGTTTGATTTTTTTGTTGACTGATTTGACACAGTGACCATGCAAATGTTCTTGATGGCAATAAGTCATCAGGGAGCTCAACCCATTTTGACCTCAGCTTCTTAAAAATGCCTTAACACTCACCATGTTTCTTGCACTCCAGTCATTGGAGAGGGTAAAGAAAGACCCAGAAACTATCTGCTCATGGTACCTGCTCAGGCTTAGAATAGAGAACTATTGACTTCACTTTTGAAAGTGATGACCAAAAGGAAAAAAAGGCTTGTTTCTTCAGTGTAGCTGGCAGCAAAAAGAAGTCGAGAAAGATTTGGTTTGTTAAGTTTATTTTACTACTTTTGTGCTAAAAAGTCAATTTCACTGATCCTGAAATAAGTGAAACAGTGTTTTCAATCATAAGCAAGTTAAAGCACTAGCTGATGTCTAATCATGCTGCTACAAGCTGTGTATCTTAAATTGCTGAATTTCACTCTATAGCAGGCACTTTTGAAAAAGTGCTTCTGCTTGCACTGTGAGATGATATCCATTAAAACTTAGTATAAATCATATGTTATAAAGACAATATTTCTGTGAGCTCAGAGGAATGTTAGAAAAAGCAGCCCTAACCTTGTAACTTGATTTTTAAAAATTGTCTCTGTCATCTTTCTCCTACAAATAGTTGTAACTACAATTTAGTCTCTAGTATCTTTAACTCAAGCCCTTATTTGAAATGTGATAAAAATATAAAAAATTACGCCCTGGACTGATCAGCAACATCTCCATAAATCTTGCATCACCTCCAAATGCACTGAGCAAGTGAGTAGCCAGCACACTCCCAAATAATGATGAATTACCTGTCAAGGCTCTGGCTGTAGAGAATTTCCTGTGGATTCAGGTGCAGTTCTTCCTAGGATGACTTTGTCTTGCAGAGAAGTGAGAAACCACCCTTTTGAGCTGGTGGTAGTCAGATATTTCTGTAACTTTTTCCAAGAAGTTATTTCTAAACTTGAAAATGTTATCAGAATTTAAATAATAATAATAATAATAACAACAGCTTGTCATAGTTGTTCTTTCTTGCAGAACTTGTCCATGAAGATTGTAGGGAAAGTGTTCTTTATGGGTTTTGTCAGCAAACTGAGTTCTATTTTTAAGATAAACCTATAAGACTTAGTGTAGCTAATGATTAATAAGACCTGTTGTGACAAGAAAGCAATGATTGCATTCTTTCTGTTAATAAATACCATAAAAGCTCTGGTCTCTGATTTATGGAAAGACAGATAACCAGTTTTACAATTTGGACTGTCCCTGTCCCGTGCACAGCACAGAGGCGTCTGGGCTCATGGGGCATCTCTGACTGTCCTGGCTCTGCTGGGGCTATGGGAGGTGGGACAGCAAATGTTTCCTACCATTAGTTGGCCTGGAATTACTTCTGTATAGGAGCAGATCTGTCATTTAAGGACAAAGGGATTAAACTGAACTGCTAAATCTAGGTTCTTAGCTAAAAAATTACCAGGCTTGTTTCAGAGGAATGCTGCTGCTTTGCTTTCCTTTACCCATTTTTTTTAGACTGTACTGCCTGCATCTTCCAAGGTTGATCAGAGGCTGGAGTTCACCCTGAAGCCTGTTGGTAGGACGTGTGTTGACCTGGGGAGCAGAAGCTGAGGCCCTGGCAGGAGAGGCCCTTTGGGAGCTTGACAGAGCCTGGTCTGGTCCTGCAGGTATGGCAGGTTCCCTCAGGGCTGAAATTGGTGCAAGCAGGCAGGAAATGCTCAGGAGAGCTGGACCTGCCCTTGCCCTTCATCTTCCTCCCTGGCCAAGGGCTTTGAGGCAGGGAAAGGACCTTGGGAAGGGAAGGGGCTGCTGGGCAGGGGCTGAAAGGGCTGCTGGCTCCTGTTTCTCTGGTAGCCCACACTGCTTGGGCAGTACCTGCATGTTTTGAACACAAACACACATTTGTTCCTTGTTTGCTCAAACTGGCCTTACCAGCTTGTTGGGCTGTATCTTCACGGAAGATTTGTGCCCAAAGCCACTAAAGTTTCAAAGGTAATTAGTGGTATATTTAGAAGGGGGTTGCAGCTATGGGGAGGAATGTGACCAGCTCTGGAGTTCCATGTTTGCCTGGAAACCTTTAACATGCTGGAAGAAAGACAAGCAGTACTAAAAGTTGCTAGGAGAGGTGGATGTTGAGAATTTCCTTTTTCTACAGAACTAGACAGCCTGGGGTTCCAGCCTTCCTTGTAACCTACCAAGAGGAGAGCTATCTCCTCTCCATAGTGTGTGTGTGCAGGTACACAAACACACAGGTGCAAGTGTACATCTTACTCTTTTAGAAACCTCTGACTGCTGGCTGAGTTCTGATCTGCAGCTGAAAACCCAGGATAACATAAGGATTTGTCTTTCTTCTCCTAACACTCCTGAGAGCTGCCTTCTTCCTCCCCTATTTTCCCCATAATGCTTCCTGCCAGCTTCCAAGATCAGAATCATTATTTTGGAGATTAGAGAGAATAGGAATGGATTTTTTCTTTGAAGTCTTATCTGTTTTCTGAAGATGGTTTTCTCTAAAGCTGCAAGCCAAATACACTGTGTCTGCTCGGTCCTTTGCTCCTCAGTGGCATCCTACAGACACAGAGAGCAGTTAGCTCTAGCCAGAACATAAGAATGGAACTGAAAATATGAAGTTCCTCTTTTTGATTTAAACACAAGCTCTTGTTAACTTCTAGTCTGGGACTGACATCTAGTTCTAAACTGAATGCCTCAAAAGAAGATTTCTACTCACAAGGGAGAAGAGAAAAATAGTCCTTACTCTCCTGGATTCTGTCCTTGTTTCTTCAGGCAGGAGCATCATGCCCTCAGTTCTGCAGTAAGAAATGAACTGCCACTGGAGACTAAGTGCATCTCCTATTTTTATGACTGTAATGATTAAACTGTTCTGCTTAGAGCCATTTTAAAACAGACAATGTCCCCACAATGCACAGCAGTAAACAAAAGGCCTAAAAAATTAGCCAGGTTCATTTTGTCAGATCCTACTGATTCTTCTTGTGACTTGAAACAAATTGCTTCGGTCCTGTCCTTGCCTCTGGGCACTTTGTCTGTGTTGCAGTGTGTGACAGTGGTATGAAAAGCTGGTATTTCTGTACAAATGATGGCTTGTGTCTCTACAGGAAAAATATTCTGTAAATGCTAAGTGGTTTTTATTAGTTAGATGTAGATATTGGAAGCTAGAAGCAAACAGCAGCACAGAAATAACTTCAGCATATGGATATGGTTCATACTAAATTAGACATTCACTATGCAAACTCATTTCTAGTGTCTTTTTTCTTCTCCTGGACTGTCCTTTGGACAAAATTAGCTGTAGGACTTGGAGCTTCTTGACATGAGTTTGGCTAATCCTGCCAAATTCTTGGCCAAGATCAGTGGACCTCCCTCACTTGGCACTCAAAAACACACATGATGCTCACTGTTTGTGTCAGTTATAAATCTTGGATATTCCTGTTAATCTGGAATTTTCCTCTATGGAATCAGCTAAATTTCTCCACAATGTCCTTCTCTGGTTTTAATCTGTGCTACTTAAGCCTTTTCATATTATTTTTTTCCTGCTGAAAGAGGAAGATAGCCAGTCCTGAGTTTAATTTTACTGGAAGCACAAAGGTGCTCTTGCCTTTTGCTTGGACTCTGGAGTTATTCTCTTCTCGGCAGAGGTTGCTGTGAAGTCAGCACAGTGTTTGTAGCTCTCAAATGTGGGCCAAGCAATAACTGTGATGTTGCAGTGCTGCAGTGAAGCTCCCAGGACAGGTTGTGCAAGCCCAGCTTTTTGCAGCCTGTGTGCACTGAGCTGTGGGTGAGACAGGAGGAGCCTGTCCCCCATCTGCCTGTAGTGGGTATGAAAGAATAGAATGATGCAAACATGATCTTTTCTTCCTTGGTTCAGAACAAGGTCTGTGCAAAGGGGAGTCACACCCTCAGCCACTGCATCAGCAAATGTGACAGAAGCAGCTTTGCCAGCACCACATTCAGGAGCTACAGTGAGCAAGGCAGGGTGAACTCTGCTCTCTGCCATCGTACATGGGGGGAGGCAAAGGTGGTTGCTCTGATTCTGTGTATAACTTACTGCCCTTAAGCTATTTATATACATGTAAATAAGAATCTAAAGAAACTTATCTTGTATTCTTGGCACAGTGCCATTCTGGTGAGCTCTCTGCTGGCATATGTTGTGCTGAAGTGCTGGAATGATTCAGCGTAGCTTTTCAGGGCTCAGTTGAACGTTCTTCTTGCACTGCTGTTCCCTGCATGCTGCTCTTCTTCCCTGCTGGGAGCCCTTCTCCCAGGAGAAGCCCTTCTCCAGCCTGCCTGCCTCCTACAGCCGTGTCATGTAGCTTGTGACAATCTGCTCTCTTGACTCGTGCTCAGCCTGGTTCAGCTGCTCTGTGCAAGATCTCACTATTTTCCTTTGGCATTTGTGTGAGACCAGCACACAAATGCTTCTGATCATGAAAATCCCATGTATGACTGTGAAGTAGCTGCCATAAATTAAAAACTGGGAGAGGAGGAGAAAAAGGCAGAACAATTAATGAAAAACACATTAGAAAAATGCTCCTTCTTCTGAAGATGAGAGTCACTCTGATTTTCTCATGTTCTGGCAGTTTCTCTACACTTGAGTTTTTGCCTTGTGATTAAGCAAAATCTCAGCTTTTGCTGAGATACAGCAGATAACTGTGAAATGAAGAACTGCCCTTCCATTCCTTATGCCTCTTGACAAACGTCCAACAGGGAGAGGGATAAGAACAGTCCTGAACTCTCATTCTGCATCTGACCAAACCAGTCTGAGCTTTTGGGAAGAGAGGATGGTGTCCTATTAACTACTAAAACTGGCTGGATAGCAGGGCCTGGTTAGTTATGTTCTGATTTATCTCCCTTTGAAAACTAACAGTCCAGCATCTGTAGTCCTAAATGTTTTAAAAGGCAAAAGGGAAGAATGATGACAAATAGTGATGAAGAATGACAAGGGAAGAACAAGATGTCTGGATTTCTATAGAGGAAAGACGATTAAGTTGTCCTTTAGCATAGGAATTTTGAAGATGACTTGGCTGAGCAGTAAGTAGGAAAGTAAGGTAACTGCACTTACTTGAGTCACTATGTCCAGTCCCAGGCCTCTTGAATCTACAACAACTATTGTGAGAATGGTCTGGATGAGCAGGGCAATGAAGTTGTTGAATCCAAACATCAGGGCATAGCGCTCCATGCTCAGATTGATGGCGATCTGGAACCTAACAGGAAACTGGCAGGTCAGTCACTGCCCCTGGGAAAGCTATTGCTGTCTAGCAGTCGACGAAGAGAAAGTGATGCAAGCAGATGGTTCATCAAGGACAGAGGAAATGGTGCTTCTTTGTTTGCTTCATTGCTTTCTCTAAAAAAAAAAAAGTCTTGGGTACCACAGTGTATTTTAATGGGTTTTTTTGAACTGCATGGGCTGCTTTTCTAACCCTTGCTTTCAGATGATCAGGTAGAATCAGCTCTCTGTACCCTTCCCCTTTGCTCCTGCTCTGCCTGCACAGACTATGCCAGACAGGCTGTAGAGAGTCCATGGCTGGAAGCTTTCAGAGACCTGGCAATGCTGTGATTTGCTCTGGCACTGAAGCAGTTCTGCCCTGGCTGGGAGGTCACTCTGGGTATCTTCTAATCAAGCTTTCCATGGTAATAAGTCACATTTTGCTTTGTGATTTGACAGTGGAGGTAACTTGCTATTTATTTCTGTCAAGAGCCCATAGATTTTTACTTGCAATATCTTTTTTGACAATAATCAAAACATCTTTCTTCACAATATATACCTGCAAAGTTTCTATACAAACAAAAGGGTGTTACTACTTCAGGACTCATTTTCAATAATTTTAGCTTGGGAGTTTTTTGCAAGATTTTACTTTGTTGGGGTTTTTTTTAGAATATATTGAAATAGTCCAGGTGTAATTAACTATAATATAATAACAATCTACAAAAATGACAATTAAGAGCTCACTTGGCTTCCTTCAAGATAGGCATAACCTTGCCATGCATTATAATGTTAGCAATTTTTTAAAGTGGTATCTGATTAATTTTGGAGTTTGACACAAAATGCATCCAGTATTTTTGTTAATGAAATAGTGTGGTATGTCTCAAGACATTCCAAATAAGAAAATTACTGGAGCATTAACATTTTATATTTATTACATGGGACGAAATATTTGTTGTTAATATTATTTATGCATTTCTATTTCTGACAACAGAATAGCTTGGTCTCCTGTGAGATCTCATCTGAGTTTATATGTCCTATGCTCCTTTTTATTCCTTCTTTACATCTTAATATCATTAATGATCAATTGTATAAAATTACGTTGGGGTACACTTTATATGGAGTCTTTTCCTGCATTCAAGCAGTTCATGACATGCTAAAAGGGTCATCAGTAGGGGGTCTAGACATATGGTGATCCTAAAGGATGGCTGTCAAGGTATGCTTGTCCCTATTGTTCATTTTGCATCTTTCATGCCAGGAAGGATGAAAATGGCTTCTACATTTTGCAGTTACCATTGCCTTTAGTAACAAAATGACCTTGTGCTTTGTTTAATTTCTGCTTAGGTAAATGTTCGATGTCCTTTTGACAATTTTTCTCTCCTGGTTGTTTGGAAGAATGAAAACAACATAACCAGACATTTAAGTGTTCTTGTCCTTACCTAAACAGTTATGTCAAGCATTAGGTCAGCTACCTCTGAGGAAAAGGATGCCCAAAGCAAACTCAGAGTAGGGTCAGTATTCTGTGCAAGATGAGGATGATGCATTGTGATGTTTTGTACTTACGTTGCTATTGTCAGGAGGAGCACATAGCATGCCTTGAAAATGAGATATCCAGCATAACATGCCCAGATGCTGGTAGAGAAATGCATGAGAAACAGACAACCTGCATCTATTGCAGAGAAGATCCCTAAAGCCAGTTCTCCAAAATGGTCCCAGTTAATCTGCATATATTGTACCAGGAAAGATGTTACTGAGCCTAGAAAAAGAGAAAAAAATACATGTAAATATTGTATCTGCTCCACAGCCTGTATGACCAAGTCCTGCCACACTGACATACCAAAAGGCAATGCTGAATAATGAAGCAGAGTAGTCTGAAGTTTGAAAGCATTTCTGATGGCTTCTGCAGCTGTGCAGATGACTGGTCATTTTAAGACAACTGCATATATCAAGTCTCTGCCATTCCATTCTTAGTGCTTTATTCCACTTCACAGGATAAATTTACTGTAATGTAGGAGGATTCATTATTTAGGTGTCTGTACACAGCATGGCTCTCTGGGGAGAGAATTAGGAACATGGTTTGGAGTTCAAGAAGGAAATTTTTCCACCTTCTCCTAGTTAGGCTAGTAAACCTTCTATTGAACAGTTTAGCTCTGTGCACCTCATAGAGAGGTAAACTGTCAAAAAAGTTAGTTTTGAGGCATCAAGGAAGTATATCCAAGGAACAAGACAGGATAGGTTTGCTTTTTGTGGGCCTCCTAGAAGATGCATCTGTTGCAAAGTTAAGCCACCTGGCTGCCCATCTTAGGGGTCCCAGACCCTTCTTAAAACTTCTATAAATTATATTTAAAAACTTCTATACTTATACACTGAGAACTAGGCAAGTCCATGAGAGAGAAATTCATCAAGGAGTAGATACTACAGGAGGTCTTCAAATTCATGATTCATGTGGTCTATTTAGTTGCCTGCTGCAAGAGTGGTATCTGTTTCTCCTTAAAGACTGTAAGGGTGACCTGAATGATTAGGTGTGGTGCAGATGTGTTTATTTTTTCTGATAAAACACACCCCCACATCTTGTGCAAGTTCTTTACAATAGCACAATGTGAGCCAAGGCAGGGTGGTATCCTCTGATGTTACCTTTGGATAACCTCACTTTGCATGTGTGATGTGAGCAATGCTCCTGGTACAAAAATGGAATGGTTCAGATCAGTATCATAAGGATTCATAGTGTCTTTTTTCCCCTGAAATTTTTTGTATCATGCAATGACTAAAATTTTTCTTTTTGTCTGGTTGCACAAGGGTATTTCACTAGAAAAAAAAAATGAGAGGATTATGTTCATTTTGTGTAAAATTTTTACAGAAAATTTCTCTCATCTGTGTAAGCTGATAGCACTGTTATGGAAAAAATGCAGTATTTTCTTTGGGGGAAAAAATACCAACACCCAATAGCCTCATCCAAAGAAACAGGGGTGCTTCTGAATGGATTTACCAGCTAGATGCAATGTCTGTGTGACTTGCACGCTTTCTGCATACTGGTAAAATACAGTTATTTGTCTGCTATAAAAGAAAAACCAACATAACTCACATTTGAACTGTTGTACATCAAAGACCTAGGTCTGGAATGCACAGGGTGTGCACTGGCTCCCTGGAGCGCCTGCAATGGAATGGCACTTAGAAAGTTTACTAAAGTGAAACTTCAGAGGCTGTCATTGTGATCAATGTTTAAACACTGACTTACTCAGAAACGTTGCTATGGCTTCCACAGCTCCGTTGTACACTGCGGAGCTGTGCGAGGGGGCTCGCAAGTCCCACAGCACCTGGACATAATTCACCACCTGGTTGAAGCCGGCCGTGGCCAGAGCCCACCACAGGGACCAGCAGAGGAGCTTGCGGGAGCCGTAGCAGCGCCTCAGGTCCCTGCCCAGCTGCAGCAGCACGCCCAGCAG